GGAAATACTTAGAGAACTGGTATTTATTCCTGTGTACAAATATTTGGACTAGCCGATTAATATTGTGAGGAGAAAGTCCTTTATTGGAGTAGTTTGCAGGGTTGCATGTGGGTGGGGAAACATTCTACTAAAGTTTCAGCTTCCTGGCTTTTTTGGTTCCCAAGTTGAAACCCGCGGATAAAATGCACTCGGAACACACAGGTAGGGTCTCGACAGTATGCATTTTGTGCAACTGTTTCAGCACAAAACGCATAAAAGCAACCAGTAAGACATCCGAAAAAAAATCACGACATGATGAACTTAACAGATAACCAGGGTCAGGAGTGTGTCTAGTACAGCTTCACTGGACATGCGATCGGTAACAGAAACTGTTCATTGGCATTTTCTGCTTTCGTTGGTTTTAATGCAATTGTAGGAATTCTCAGGACTGCATTGCAGGGAAAGCGTGAAAGACAATGTAGGAAGAAAGCCAAGGATTTTGAAATAGAAACTGTTCATTTTTTTCCATGATTCCTTTTATCGGCCTGCCGCGCTGTATCGATTACGGTTGGTCAAGCGGTGAAAGATTTGTGTCCAGTGCTGCATTGTTTATTTTAAGGTAGCAGATGAGACGCAAGTGAAAAATGGTATGTCAAAAGTGAAGGATGAATTTGGACGACTAGATGCTGTGATCAGTTGTGCCGGGATTTCATTCAATCATAAAACATACAGTTTTCACTCGGCCAGTCTCACGCAGAAGGCCGCTGCATGGGCCGATTTAAATAAAGTTTTTAGGGTAAGCCTTTTACAGTTGTGATGAATTTTCATGCCACATTCGCTTGCGTATCACGCTGCTTAGACGTGCTACCGCCACATTGCTTTTTTGTGATTCACAATCGATTGTCTTCATCCTTCGCCACTTCGCATCTCTCTCATTCGCACTTTTTTCTGCCATTTACTAAGAGCTTATCTGGGCACTTGATTTGTGGATTCGGTACCAGTGATGTTACTGGTAACAAGTACTTACTGGTATATGCGCAAATTGTCCAAAAAACATCGAGTGGTCGTTGACTTCCTCGTTTGCATGCTGCTTGATGTCCACTAGCTGGAAGCAAAATGAACAAAATTCCTGTCTAACAGGTTTCATATTCTTGTGCAGTCCCAGTGAAATTCCGCGAGCCGTTCATTTGATGGAGAGTCCGTTTGCTCATTGGGTTACGAAGCGACACTCCAGCCGTACTTCGCTCAGCTGCTGTCTACGTCAGAACTAGTATTTGCTCTTCAGCCTCCGTCTCAAACCATATGTCATTGTCTTCAACAAATGGTACTGGAAAGATGGGCATGTTCTTTCCGAATCGACGCAGTGTGGACGCTGTCGATGCTTTAGAACTGCCAACCGTTAGCCCTCTTACGTGTAATACTGGACTAGAGGCTTTTTGGCCGGAGTAGAAGTAGCTGTCAACTTCTTTCTAGCCAGAATTGTCTACCTGTGATTTGCCCGTCGATATGCCGGCTCTTTGCATTACTTTCGTTTTCGGAGCATTTTCAAACCTAATTCTTGATACGTCGATTCCCTGCAACGCCAGTTTTGTCTCTCGATAGCTACTCGCAATAATAATTGTGTCATCTGCGAAGCTTAAATGGCTCAGATTTTCGCATTTAGTGTTCTTTCCATTCATATCTCGAGACAGACCATTAAAAGCTTTGGCGATTCGGAATCCCTTGCTTCATTTGTGCTCGACTGGCTTGCGGAGTGAAGTCGAGG